ACAATAGAAATAGAGAAATATACGAAAACGACTCAAAAACGAAAAGTTAATAAAAATGAACACAAAAATGGACCGGAACGCACAAACGGAACCTAAAAACACTCGACTCAAGCAAATAAAAACACAATAAAATACACAAAAACATAACAAACACACTTCCCCATTGATCACAGGGGTTGCGGTATTTTCATCGTTCTCTGCCTTGTTGTTTCTCCAACTTCTGTTCTTCCAGGCTTTGCAGTTTCTTTTGATATGCCCTTCTTCACCGCAGTGATAACACTTGAATTTTCTCCTGGGTTGAGATTGTGATTTATCTCTGGCATTGCTATTCCGGCCTCTGCTTTTACTTCTCCCCCTGGTTTCTGTGACCAGGGCTTGGGAACTGCTTGCCCCTGAGTCTTTTCTTCTTGTTTCTTCATTAAACATACTGTCTTTGACTTGAGTCAAAGTCAGTTTTCCCTCAGGAGTAGAGTTGCTCAACGAGACCACCAGAGTCTCCCAGCTATCCGGTAAAGAACTCAAAAGTAACAGCGCCTGCAGCTCTTCATCAAGTTTCATTTCCATGGTAATCAGTTGGTTCACCATGTCTTGAAACTCATTCAAGTGTTCTGCAACTGATCTTCCATCCCGATATTTTAGATTTACAAGCTTTCTAATGACGAAAGCTTTATTCTGTGCAGTCTTCCTCTGGTACATTTGTTCAATTTTGTTCCACAGAGTATGGGCTTTCGACTCTGTGGCAACATGGTGGAATATGCTGATATCCACCCACTGTCGGATTAAACTGACAGCCTTCCTGTGTAATTTTTTCCAATCGTCATCCTTCACATCATCTGGCTTATTGTCTTCTTTTTCTACAGGATCGTACAGATCTTTGTAGAAAAGTATGTCCTCCATTTTTGGCTTCCAAACGGAGTAATTTGTTGCTGTGAGTTTCACCATGGTACCCACGTTCTCCTCCATTTAATCTACACTGGCCGATACAGAGCCCAACCTGAGCTCTGATACCACTTGTTGGGCTCAGATGCGCAATGCGGAATATGTAAATTAAAATATCAAAGTAAAATGGTGAACAATAATCCCGATCCCAGCAACTCAAGAATGACAAAAGAAAAAATCTCTTGCAATAAAACAGGAATAATTCTTTTTTGATGTGAAAGATCACATTAAACTGCAACCACAGAGCATACTAAGAATATCCCAAATAAATAAAATATGCAAGAAATAAGACACCAAGATTTAACGTGGAAAACCCTCCAAATAGAGGAAAAAACCACGGGACAACCTCCGAACAATTCCACTATATTTTCAAGATAATTACAATATCTTTTCACACTCACTTACACTAGAAATGTAAAATATAGTGACCCAGTGAGAAGCCCACTCTTAAACAAAGAGTAATAGAGTTGATACCCAATCCGCTGTATTTTTCCCACACTCACAGGATTTACTCAAACACTCTATTTTTATCTCACTGAAAAATAACACTCACTCCAGAAACTGATGTTGTTTCTGCTCTCTTTTTCTTTCTTCTTCTCGGTGCAGTTTCTCTTCTGCCGAATGCTCCTATTTATACTACAGAAAGATTCTCCACAGTACCAAAGTTGATAACCTGCTCAATTTTTAATGATGGACGGCACCGCCTATTGCATAAAAAATGTAATAATTGGAATCTTACAACCACAATATGATTTTCAATGTTTGGCTGGACTCATTTTCTATCATGTGGCTGGATCCCACAGGAAGTCTGCACTGGGTCGTCGCACCCACGGCTGGGGCACGCCGACGCCACCACTGCCCGCCACATCATCCAGCCTTCCGTAAACGATAATCAAATTTGCGGAACTTGTTTAAGCCTTGACCTATTTTAATTTGCGAATATATTAATTATCGTGTTTTCTCAACTCAACTGTTACTATATATCTTCTTCTCATATGCATAAAATAACACAATTTATATTTTGTGTCTTACACGTATCAGATAGCCGACTCATCTATCATACCTCTATTTCAAGGTTAAAAAGTATAGCAGTGTAAGTGGGCAACAAAATTAAATTAGATAAAGAATCATATGCCATCTTATTCCACGTGTTCTGCCGCCGTAGAGATTTTTGCCAACCCAATGTTCTCGATAAAATAATTCAACATATCAATATATCTTCTTGCCTTTTAAGTTAAGTTTTTTGTGTCTAGTTTTGATCAATGTTTCTGGTTTTGACATGCTTAAATGGTTGTGAACAAGTTGTTTTCAGGTGATTAACATGTTATCAATATTTCTGGTTTTGACAAATGAAATGTTAGTACCATTAAGATGATGATTAATTACTAAGATTAACAAGACCATGATTAACAAGATTACTAAGATTAACCAGATTACTAAGATTAGCAAGATCAGGATTAACAAGATTACTAAGATCATAATTCAATGGTTTAATTGTAGAATATAGCCAATATCTTGTACGCGGTGGCAATATTGGCCACCATGTTTACGAATTGGCAATATTAGCCAAAAACTTTCAAAATTTTGGTGTTATTACCCATGTCCGACCAAATTCGATGGCTATTATTGCCACTGCGTAAAAACATATTGACTATGTTTTGCAATTTATCTATCGAATTTAGTTGGATTTGGGTAATAATCTCGAAATTTTTAAAGTTTTTTGACTAATATTGCTAATTCATAATGATGATGGCTATTATTGCCACCGCGTACAAGATACTAGCTATATTTTACAATTTAGCCTAATTCAATACTTCATATTCAGCAAATCCCTTACATTCATTACTTAGATTCAATATATCCCTTACATAGGTACAAAAATAAAATACTTAAAGTAGCACATTTTTCATAATACATCTTTCACCACATAGAAACAATATAAAGGATGGACAAAACCCATGTTGTAGCAACAACCACTTCGAGCTGCCAAATTTTCTGTCGAATTTTTAAAACATCCTCAAGATAAAAGTTCTGCGCGAGATGAAATTAGAGTTAACACTCTTCTTCATTCCTTTATTCTAGAGTACAAGCAATAAAAGCTTATGCTCTAGTTCAATCATTTGCTTCTCCATAATACCATTGTTCCGGATATCAAGTTTGGACTCCCATTTAAAGAATTTACATCCCTAGTCCTGCCAATTCTTGCATCCTGGAAATTTCTTACCAGGACTCGATGGAGTCCTTGATGTGCGTAGTTGAGCTCTCAAACAACAATAACAAATATGATTTGAAGGAGACGAGAATGAAGAAGCTGAAGATATCGATTCTATCTCTCTTGAACTCGACCTTTCTCACATAAATGGAATAATTTGGAAATTAGAGTTTATAGGGTAGCGATTGAAATATAAGGGAAGAGATGATGGTAAGTTATAATTTTTTTATTCCAGACATAATTGGAATTATTAAATTCAGATGAAATTGATACGTCACACCATGTCAGATTAAATATCGAGTAAAATGAACTATAGCTAAATTATAGGACCAATTTTTATATTTTTTTTTTTGGCCAACAAATGATTAGCTGCTTAAGTTTTTCTTTTTTTTT